CCGTTAGCACGATAACTCGAGCAAAAATGATCCGATTTTGATGAAATTTGGTACAAACGTGTAAACCTACGTTTATTCGAACGACTTCGCGAACCAGCATGATCGGACCATGGGAACGGGGTTTTATGGGGGGAGTTATGGGGTAAAAATTGGTTTTCCTCATTTTTGACCCTCAAAACATAAAATTTCCCAAATTTCCTCTAGACCATTTTGAAGAGCTTAAAAAAAATAATTCAGTATATTGAAGTGTTTTTGTATGGTTATTGGTTACGGAGAAAATTGTAAATTAAAAATTCCCATGTTATTCTTATGGAGAATAAGTAAACTGTTGTAGTTTGCATATATTTGGATCAAACTTGGCCAATCTATTTATTGTATACTAAGCTATTAATATTTTACTAAAAAACACACTTTATTACCCTGTAGGCAGCAAACCTAGGTACTCGTGAAACCTAATGTCATTTGTATAGATTTAATTGAAAATCAAATCAGGCAAATGGAAATTCGCTTAGTCTGCAGGTTTGCTGCGGCGGGGGGTATTTATATGTATATTTAGGTAAATTAAGTTATTGTGTTTTGCTAAACCTATGCATAAATTAAACTAAAGAATATCATCAATAACTAAGTTGTACTGTGTTGATTTTTGTTTTTTTTTTATCTGTTGTATATGCGTAACTATAATTAATTATCAAATGGTAATACAAAATACTCTTATTTTATCTTAACATAGCTTTCAGTTCACATTTACTTTCTTTGATACATTTATTATTTGTGTTTTGCCACACCACTGATTAAATTAAACCAAGGAAAATATCATAAAAAACTAAGCAGTACAAAGTGTTCTTTTGTCTCTAAAATCAATGAAATATCTGTTACTATGTTTACTTTATGGTAAGTGTGAAAATGTAAAGCCAATGGACGATGGAACTGATTAAAAGAACTGGTTTGTATATTAAGTTGTTTGTTGATATTTTTGTAGAGTAGAATCAGAGATGCAATGAAACATATACTGTATTTGCTGTTAAATTGTTTAGGCATTGATGCTTTGATAATCATAGGGCCTATTAGTTTTGTCTGTTGTCTTTAATGCTAAATTATTTGTTTAAAATTTTTTATAGTACCTATAGATATAGTTTCTTTAATATTTAAAAGACTGTATTGAAAAGGCATAGCAATATTTCTAAAGTTTATAACAGCTGTCTTAGTTTAGCTAATGATTTATTGTGAGTGAAGAAACTGAAGATGGAAGGATTTGTGATTTAATACAAAGAAGAGTGACATTTAAAAAAAATGTTCATATAAATTTAATAATCAGTAGTAACTTCAAAATTGAAATTTAAAATAATAAATGAAAAGATATGTTATTAAGGGAGATGAAATGGTGGTATCCACTGATTACCAGATTTAAAAGTCATAACTTAAACGTTTCTATTAGGGCCATAAAAGTTGAATTTTGTTTCTAAAAGCGTTGGGGGATGTGTAACTATTATATGCAACAGATGTAAAGATTAAAATGTTTCTATTTTGTGTCCTCTTCCCGTTGCAAAGCACGGGTACAACAGCTAGTAATTATATAATTTGCAGCAGCACACTATTCGTGGCTAAATTCAATTACGTCCATATAAAACCAGCTACAACAATAACATAGGAATGAGATGTCTAGTGATCACTACAATCACAATGTGCTTGAATTAATTTTTTTTTGACAATGGAACTCGTACAACCCATCCGCCTAAAGTCGTCTTTCATTTAACACCACACAAGGAACACATGTTTTTGCTACGGTTGCTAACAACAATAAACTGCATACTCAACCCTATGATTTTATTTTCAACCCGGATTTTCCAAGCAAAGGTTTAAAAGGAGATTTAGAATTCCCCAAAGTGAACTTTCAGTTGGCAATGTTGCTGATTCCGTATGACTGATACATCGACTTAAAATTACGGTACAGCTTAACGTATGATGCGTACATTAGGATCATTGTATTATCTTATAGCTGTAGTCAATGGCGATTGGCAGTATTCGAACTACTTAACTTTCGAAATGGAACAAAGCCGTTGATTTGACCCAATTAACTGCACATTCAGCTGTTTATCCGATTACGTTTGTTCTTATCAAAGTTGAATAGTTGTAGTCAACCCAATAGATAGTTAACGCTAGATATTCCTCCTACCCGTTTCTAAAAATACATTGGAGAAAACTATTTTTAATATGAGAAACAGAACGAGATAAACATGTTTTGGCCGTATTACGTCATATGACAGAGAAGGCCGCGGGAAAACGTAAACATTCTGGCGCGCGGTGAGCTGAAGGACTACATCAGCTGTTTTGTGGTCAGTCAACTTTTTTAAAGTTTTCGGGTTACAGATCTTTAGTTTTATTTATTAGTAGGCCTAGTGTATATGATGTGATATATTTTGAGCAACTAGAAGCTAGACCACTCACTTTGGATACGGACGGTAAGCAGTATATTCCTCATCAAATGTCAAGCCTCTTTCTAAGTATTTTGTGTCCGGTTATACTGGAGTGCGCTGTCAAACTAATGCTCTAAAATACTTTTTTAGGGTAATTTTTATTACATGATTTATCGATCTGTAATTTATTCTTCGATTGCACTGCTTGAATACAGACAACAGTTTGCAAAAAACTGTTCTATGTGGCCGTAATAGCACGGATGTTAATTAATTGGTTCATGAATTGTAAAAATGTGAAAGTTTATGTATGACGTACAGTACCTACACAGTATTTAGCAAACGCCAATTAATAAACTGGTACTGGACAGAAAAACGCCTTAAGTCTTCAGCTTATCTGTGAGAATAAAACATCAAGAGAGTATATATAATCTATGGTTAGTGGCTAGATAATATACACGTGTATTTTTAGTACTCTATGCGCACAATTCTGTAACTTTGTTGGTGGTTTATTTCATGTATTCATGTTAATCCTCCGTCAAAAAACATTTAAACATCAGTAAACTTAACTGTGTCAAAGGGTCAAAAATGTTTATTGTCTTACTTGTCTTCTGTATTGTTTAAAAAATGATGGACACTATGTGTAAAGAAAATATTATAAAATAAAAATCGTTTTAGTTTCCTTCAGAAACAATATCATCTTTATAGACATCTCATACTTAGGAATATAAATATGCCTCAAATGAAATACATATTACTGTGCTGCAATTAATTGCCATGGCACGTGATACTCTTCTTATCACCCTTAGACATCGATGACTCATAAAACCATGCTTCCGATATTAATAAAGGATGACAAGTCAACTTGCAATATCCAAAGTCAATGTTAAAGCTTTATTGCAAAGACCGCAATATGATCTGGCCAAGATTGCGACAGAAGAGTGTTGTATTACGACTGAAAGCTTTCTTCTCCGTTAGTATAATCTTTTAGTCTCCAAACCAGTATTGTCAGTTCCTAATCAGTACTGTACATATTTCAATGTGATAATCTTTTTTAACATTTTAATATCAAACTAAAATAATTAAATGAAATTCCTTAGCATGAGCACTTTTGTTAACGTGTAGAATTAAAGCTGTATTTTTAAAACCAACTAAGTTGTTGGGGCATTTCAATTACGATAGTAACAATTTTTACCTGTTGAGAAATATTGGTATGGTGTGGTTTTAGATTTAACCAGTTAAATTGCAAGCTGAGAAGATCTTCAGGGACTATGTTCTTAGAAAAGTAATCAGTACAGATCAATTCTGGTACATTCATGTACATGTACAGATACATTCCCTGTACATGTTGAGGCCCATGTGGACAGCCAAATGCAGAAGAAGAGCTGCCAAACACTCTAAATAAAAATTACATCCAATGAATATTTTACAACTTGAAAAATGTATCTTATCTATGTGAAACTATGTAAGTAATTTTTGTACTAGCAGTTTTTTTTACAGGGTTGTTATCTAAATTCCAAAATAATGTCTGAGTACTGAATTACACATATTGAACCTTTATCTCTTGCAACCAAGTAAAGCACAGTTTAAAATGAGAAAATGTATTCAAAATTATATTCACAATAAAATCTTCATTGCTCTTTGTAAAGATCCTTAGAAAGCCCACTAGGCTGCTTTAGGGCAATGACCCTCTTCAGCCTTGGATAGGGTAGGAGTTCCTTTCACAAGTGCTGAGTACGAAGCTGCAGCTGAGAAATTGATTTTGTAACATGTTTATGTACTTGAGTGGTGAGGTCGAGGTCAGGGTTTTTGAGGCAATATGGTGAGCATGTTGTTTATTTTTGTGAGTTCACTGATTTAGTTTGAGAGGTGATGAATGGTCAGACTATGGTGGATATAGAAGTAAATGTCGAACAACTGTTGGGTCAGTGAGGAGAATTTGGCTCATTCAAAATACTTGTATGGTGGAGAAACAGGTAGCCTACAGGGTGGTAAGAGCTTTGGAAACCGTTGTTGCAAAATTGTATATCACCATAGACAAAATAATTAAATATAGACTGACAAAGGAAAATTGCGCGATGTGCGTGCTTCGTGAACATGCTCCGTGTTCATCGATTCGCTGCCATCGTCAACTCGCCATCTGTTACCCTCACTAGCACTCTTGCAAACAAAATGCTGCCAACGTATCAGACCCACTTTTGAATATGAGTAGTTACAAATTTTGAAATCCCGGAATTTGAACTAAAAAGACCATTTTTTTTCCTAGAAATTTTGTAAACCCAAAAACAAAATGGAACAAACTCAAACTCCAACTACCAAGTTGTCATGGCATTGTTTGCTAACACTTGATGTCTCAGCAATGTGCACCAAAACTACACTGCATTCCTACCGGTGGACGCCAGAATATATGCTAATCGCAGCACTGCTGTCGGTCTATATTTAATTCTTTTGTCTATGATATAACTGTGCACAGCTTATGGGAGTTTGTACAAAATATTTCTAGCTCTCACAGAAATTGATAATATCCTGTATAAGAAGTTTCAAGTTTTTTAATCAATAAATTTATTTGATGTATTAATTATGTTACAGACGAATGTGACATCTCCGTAGTGCCACCATGAAGAGCTACGGTGTGATGGATGAGCGCACCCCACTCACCAAGACTCTACCCCCTGACTATGTGTACATGACCAACCCCAACAGACTGTACAGGAAACAAGTGCACCAGTTCCAGTGCTGCATCTGTGCTATTGTTCTGTGAGTAAACATAACTAATCTAATATGATGTAAACAATTAAGCTATTGATATACGAGGGGTTATTGCGGACATTTCTATCATGAATAGTAAAAAGCTAGTTTTTCACACATTTTGGGATACATTATAATCTCTCGTCCTCGGGTGAGAAAGTATATCTCAAAGATAACAAGATTAGTACACACACAAAGCCAGCCAAAACTAGGAAAATTTCAAATTACAGTAAATCCATACAGAGAACAAAAAAGAAAGAATTTCTTAAAGGAAAACACACTCTGTACGAGAGGGGATGTAGGTAGAAAATAGGGACTATCCTTGACCCACCATCTTGATCAGATGTATCCAAAATTAGTGTGTACTTCCAGCACAAATCCTAGCAAGGGATCCTTTAATATTCTTAATGTACTTTAAGAAGGAATCTTAACTCTGAAGCTCCAGGAGACAAGAAAAGATCAGTGTGATATTGGTTACTGGTTAGCATCTTAAAATGATTTATGAACAATTAAATATTTTGTGACCTTAAGCCATACTGTGTTAAAGCAGTTTCCAAATTGTATTTTTTTCAAACACTATTAGTTCATCAGTTCACTTATTGTTTGAATTTCAAGCTGAATATGAAATGGTTATGGAATGAAGTGATCCCACATAGCACAGAATATTTATTTGATATCAAATAAACGTTCAATATATCAAACTATGTCAAATCAAAAATTTGATATTTATTTGATATTCATTTAATGTTCAAAATGTCAAAGTCAAACAATGTCAAACTTTGAATATTTATTGTATCTTCAAAATATCAAAGTCAAATAACATCAAATTTAGAATATTATCTAAACATTCTTAATGTTAAAAATTTGATTTTCTCTTTGAAAATTTCCAAATATACTAGTTTTAAAAATTTTTAGACTTAACTTTTTAAATTTTTTAGAGTAAAGAATTAGTCCCCAGCCTACAGGGGCCCATTTCATAATAAACTACAAGTTACAGCTTGTAACTTGTAATTTCCATTAGATTTGCATTGGGCAATCAGCTGATTTACTAATAATATTAGTTTGTACTTTATTATGAAATGGGCCCCAGTTTGTAACATGGAGGTCGGAGGTCAATTATCTCAAAATAATTAATAATAGGAAGGAACACTGAACACTGTAATTTTTAATTAATTGATGATGGATTTTGACTTTTCGCGGGGGGGGGGGGAGTTGTTGGAACATCTGATATTTTTCTGAATCTAGGCTTACTACACATTTCAAGAAGAGTGAATAGGAAACACAGCTTTTTTAAAAGTTTTGTTTATTAATAAAAAAGTCAAACTCTTAACGATTAGCCTTATCATTTAATTTTTACTGGTAAATTAAACCAAACGTAAATTTAATTTTTTTTAAGTGTAATATAACTCTAAAAATATGTTAAGTATCTAGTTTGAGCTTGACTTGGCCCATTCGTATGAAAGGAAGAGAGGAAGACTGAAGACAAAACGAAAACACCAACTTAATTCTAACCTAACTCAGCAAACAAAACAAAACATTACAATACAAAACAAATTACAAAATCCGTCGCGCGACCAGTGGTGGCCAGTTTACTCACGGTGTGGATTTATTTATTTATTAACCAACAAATTGCCCATTTTGAGGGAAAGTACACGATTTATGTAAAATGTACCTATGACAACTAACTTGTTGAGTAGGCTACACAAGTAGTGAAAATAAACTATGGAAGCAACAAGAGTATCAAGATTCAAGAACAAGACATAACCTCAAATCAGTTAAGTGTGCTGATATTTTGTTTAGTGTGTGTCACTGTTAGTTTAGAGTTGTTATTTTTGTGACTGGGTATTGGCATAACCTACACCGAACATCTTTTCACGTTTTGATCCTTGGAGTATGTAAGTATAAGTCACTATACCTAGTAACATAGACGTATTTTAGGCCTTGGCCTTACCTAGACCTAAGTTAAGCTACTGTACAAATTAAATTGGCCAACTTATCATTCCTAATGCCTTAACTTAAGTATAAATAGATAAATCTGAAACCTCAAAATAGGCAATCTGTTTTAGAGGAAGTATTTTTCTGCATACTAATTAGGCCTAGGCGTAAGCTACTAAGTTAGGCGGCTTGCTTAGTTCTTACTGAACCAGTAGTTTATTTAGCTTCAAAGGGCAACTTCCGGATGAAAATAGTGTTCAATATATAGGCTAGTAAGTAGGACTAACTTACTGGTTTACAAGGCAAATGGAATACCATGCTGTGTTGTAATACCTTGTTAGGCTAATTTTGAAATATTACTAAGTTATGTGGGTTATATTTTACGTCAGTCACTAAATTAAGTTTATGTAAATTCACCATCAAGAATAAGTTAACTTAATTTAGGCTAGCCGAGGCCTAACATATTCTACCTCAACCAGGTTACAATTTACCGGTATTATAAAAGAAATAGCCTAGCCTATTTGAAATCCATTTTCCTTTTAAACTGAATTGGTGTACACTTCCGTATCTGTTGTCAAAAACAACTGAATGAACATAGGCTATAACGATCGATATTTTCATTCGGTTGTTTTTGACAACAGATACGAAAGTCTACCCCTGTATTGTCCTTAGTCTTTTGTATTTTAGTTGTTGTCTGCTTCCTTTACCAACCAATGATTAGGCCTAACTAATCTTGATACATATTTAGGCCAGAGAAAGGTATGCATGAATTTAACTAAAAGTAGTTTTCTCTCCATTGTTTCAGTTGATAACTCTGCAGCTTTGGTGGAAGTTATTATTTGGTAGCAGTGAATAATTTGCCTACGGTACCAATTCTCCCGAGTGACAAAGTGGCTGTCTAGCAGCCTGTAGGCTGGGAAGGAGGAATAAATTTTTCTTTTGCAATCTGCATCTGAAGCCAGCTATCTTGCGTAAGTTTTTTTTTTATTTACAATCAGACATTAATAATAGGTAGACATACATATATTTCAATTAGGTTTTCTCAAAGTTAAAATAAAGTTTCAATCTTAGGTGTTTTTATTTAAATTTTTCTGTTTGATTCGCCATGACTGTGTATGTCTTTTTTGCCATAACTGGTACAGTTCCGCAGAGAACCTGCGATATATTATCGGATGAATAACATTATATATCAATAATTATCCGATTCAATACATCGTTCCCTATGTTTTTTCACTATGTAAACATCAAATTGAGTTATGATTTGCAGATTTGGTGAATTGGTTATGCAATATTAATATCAAATCAGATATATATACCGTCCGATAATATATCGCAGGTTCTCTTAGGAACTGTAGATAAGTTAGGCTCTACCACCAAAACACAACCTATTTCATGATAGGTACCTATTGGGTAATAACGTAGCCTAAGGTTCATCACACAGTTAAGAGAGTTTCTCTTTTTTGTGACCCACTTATATAGGAAGTCTTTGATTTACACTATATAAATATTCTGGCAGTGCTAACTTGTGTAAAAGAAAACTGTATTAGTTGAATTTTTTTAAACGCACACATAGGCCTATACACACACCAAACTACATCCGACCGTTGCACTCATTTCAGTCAGTGCTCACCCCAATATTTGTCCGTTCAAGTGACTGAGGATTACTTTTACCACTACCTAGGTCAAAATTTTCAATTTTAGATTTTCAATTTTTAGATTTAGCTTTAACAAGGCTACTCAAAAGAAGCAAATGCCATCAAAATATAAAATAGATTTCACTAACAATTTAATATGTGTACCTAGTTGTAGGCTATCCTGGGTGTTGATCAGGAAAATTAAAATATATACAAATTCTAGTGCTAATACTAATCTCTTTTATACAGAGGCAGAACCGGTACGCAAGAACACTAGGATCGTGGTGTAATGGAAATATATGTTGTTGCTACTATAATCAAGAATTGGCTTCGCCCAGCAAAGTTTAGGATTGATGCAAGGTAAATTTATTGTGTTATTTATAATTTAGGTTAAAGAAAAGATTGCTTATCTAATTACCTAATATAGAACTTAAATTTTATTATAATTAACAGATTAGGCCGACATCTAACTACTGTGATGTTTTCTTTTCAAATTTGTGAATTTTCAGTGACAGGCTATGCAAATGAGCAAAACTTAATCTGCGGTTTTATCCATCTCTTTTTTCTTTATTGTCAAGAACTCAATGCCTTATCGACAAATTTAATTATAAAGTACAGGTATAGTAAAAAAATAGGTCTTAAAAATGCCTAACGAAGGGGTCTCCAACCTACAGCCTGTGGGCTACATCCGGCCCTCGTGCAGTTTTATTCCAGCCAGCAGAAAGCCAGCATACGTTTTTGAAAATTATTATTTTTTATAGCAAACACCAATTATATTCTCCCACGATTGCGTAAACACATGTGGTCAGGTGGTCTCAGCTATATCGTGATCATCTCCCGTGATCTCGCCAAGACTCACGAGCATATTATACTGCAGTCTCGACGGTGCCGTGATTGTCTTTTGCAATCCCAGCAACACACTTCATTGTTGACCGTGATTTCCTTGAGGTGTAAAAAGAGAACTTTGTCAATGAATGCAGGCTCAGCCATGGGATATTTATTTACCTCACGGCTCATACCATAATTAAGAGCAATTAACTGTCTCTTCCCCATTCAACAAAATTTGTGTACAATACCCTGTCTCCAAGTTGGCAGGTTAACGTATTTAAATAGGAACATAGTAAATGTCTCTCACTTGCTAATTTTTTCTCAATAGGCCTACGGGAATATTAGTAGTAGTCAAGTAGCGGCAGATTAATTTAAATATATATATTTTTAATTGATCCTAATTGGCAGAACTACAAATTGAAATCTTAAACTAGCTGACATTTTAAGTGTCAAATTTTATAGCCTATTCTCACTAAAAAATCATTGAACTTTTTGTCAAAGATTTAGCTTAGAATGTGATTACTTCTTAATTGCACATCTTTCGTTAGAATTAGAGGCATTTATAATTTTATTTTATGAACAGAACTATATTTTAGATTATTAAAAAAGGAAACTATGTAGTTTATTTGTTTATGGATAGATTTTGATAAAATTTGGCAAACTTATTTACTTTATCCTATACTATTGACGTATGCTCAAAAAAACTTTTTACCTTCTCCATGGCTGCAAACCTAACCTTGTTAAATCTAATCTTCATTCAATTTTTATCTTGTATATTTTTTTATATTATCAGCAAGTTAGGTTAGCTTATGACAGTTTAATTTTATAATAGAATGCTCTCATTTTGTCCGTAGTAAACCTTAATTCAATTTTTTCACAATCAGCAAGTTTGGTTAATTTGGTTAGGTTACGACATTTTAATTTTATAATAGAATGCTATCATTTCGTCCGTATCACAAAAAGCCTTTATCTTGTGACAAACGACAACTACAATCGCATCGATAGTAGATGATGTTGTGATTCGATAGAGTAGCGAACAATTAACGTTAGTCGCTAAATCGGTGGCGTTTTTAGACAAAAAAGTGCTCACCGAGGAAAAAGGGTTGGATACCCCTTGTCTAACATATTATATTTTATCTATAGCTGTCTTAGAAAATAACTCTGTTGAACCTCTTTTACAGGAACAATAGAAAACTCAAGAAGGCCATTTGGGAGATGAAGAAGACCAGAATTATTTTTTTTTGTAAATTGTACATATCTTTTTTATATTTGTGTTTAAATAATTTTTAATTAAACTTATTTTATCATACAAACAAACTTTTTTCTTTAACATGTTTTCCTTGAATGCAATTTTGTTTTAAACAAATATGTTTTGTGATACTTTTGTTAATGTTTTGTCAAATAAGAAATATATATATATATATATATATATATTTACATTTTTGGGTCACCCAAGAACTTTAACAAACTACCTATAACTTCAGAATAATAAGTCAAATCAAGGTAAGAACAGTAAAGAAGTCTGAACTGATATTATTTTAATCGCCATGAAATTTGAAATGTGAAAAAAATGCAACCTAATTCTTCTAAACATATTTTACCAATAAATGTATGAGACATTTATTTGATATTCAATTTAATATTTATTTAATGTCAAATTAAGTGAGGTTGAACCTAAATTGACCATTTATTTGATATCAAATGAATGTTCGCGAATATTAATTTAATATTCGAATGTCAAAAATGTTATATCAATATTTATCACCATCATATTTAAAATGTGAATGTAAATTCAATCATATTCTCTTTATTATATTTTACCAATAAATTTATGAATGTCAAATTTGATATTTATTTTATATTCAATTTGAATATTTATTTGATGTAAAATTGAGTGACGTTTGAACCTAAATTGAACGTTTATTTGATATCAAACGAATGTTCGTGAATATCAATTTGATATTCAAATGTCAAAAATTTGATAGCTATTTGATATCAAATAAATATTCGGTGCTATGTGGGATATGACTGTGCTTTTTTACAGACCAACTTCAGCTACTTGATAAGTCAGGACTGTTTACTTAAACCCTGCAATGATCAGGGATAGCTCAGTCAAATCTAGCTCAATCCATAAAAGCTATCCAAATTATACAGCCTCTAGTCATATCTAAATGTTGTATTTTCTTTTCCAGAGGTATATTCACCATAGCACTCGCCATCACCATCCTATACTCTGTAGATGAAGATACCATAGATGTTCCTCCAATGCCTGCAGACAATGCTAGCTTACAGTTGCTGCTGTCCAAGTCTTGGCCTCTGCCAGGTATTTGATATTTCACTTATATTCTACTTACCTATACCTATTCTAATTCTTAAATTGTATGTTAGGAAAGTTTTGGAGCTAAAATGATCATCCAGTCCCGGGTGTGATTTTATCCCTCTTTGTTTTATAGTCTACTCCAATGGTAAGCCAGAGGTATTTCGTAAGGAAGATGCACAATTGCTTTTTGAGGGGAAGAGGTCCAAACCTATCAAATAAATGTTAGTGGTCGTACCTGAAATCAAACATGTACCTTTCACACCAAAGTCTGATTCACACAACAATAGGCTAGGAGTAACATATATATCCACTCTTACATCCTTATCTTTCAAGGTAAAATACCTGTTCATCTACGGTAGGCCCTACTTGCTGTAGATATTTTTCACTAACTATAACATCATCTTTTATGATTTCTTCCAATTCTTCTCTTTCCATTTGTGTATCTCTCTCTCTCTCTCTCTCTATCCATATTAGATATTATCCTGCGCAGAGCTATTTTTGCAATGACTACAATAAAATATCTTAATATTAAGGTACCTGTCTGGTTTGGTGTTTTGACAGCTTTATTCTGTTTGGTCGGGCCCGAACATTTTTGTTATGTCTCTTGTTACGAATTATCAGTACTCTAGAATGATATTCTAGACACCTTATGTCACAGCTTTCATAATCAGAATCAAATTTTAAAATATAAAAATTTCGCTCCAAAACTAGTTGCCTGTCATAAACAGGTTAATTACAACAACAACTATTATGTGAGCATATTTCATCTCACAATTTCAAGAAACTCACCAACTTATTAATTAAATTACACAAACTGTTTCTCCAAAAACTTCTATTCTTATAAAATCTCTTTCTTTTGCAGATGACGGTGTCCCTGATTGGCGTGTAGACCCACCTACACCAGAAGAGCTCGAAGCAGCTATAAAGGCTGGAAAAGATAAGTTGGCAGAGAAAGATAAGCTAGAAGCTGCAAACCCTAGTCTGCCAGTCAATAGTCCATCGTACCGTCACCAAGTATCAATCAAAACTTCGGCCAGAGCAACGAACCTGGCGAGGTCTGCATACATGATGGAGGTTGCCACAAAGACTTTTATCTTGTGAGTCTATTTCAATATTTTGTCTTTAAAAATTACCTCATCCCCTAATCACTTTTCTAAGTCTGTGGTGTACTTTGAGTGTATTTAAGTTCCAAAAGAAGTGTATTTGCATAGTGAGTAAATGATCTGTGTAGCTTTGTTATTATTATTATAACATAAAATAGTCCAAATAAATTAATAATGGATAATTTATTAACTGAGAAAATTACAGGAACGATCATAAAACGACTCAAATCAAACTCTTATAATGTTCATGGTGGGTTCATGGTTGGTAAGCCTCTGCTTTTGCCTTCTAAATTAAATCATAACAAAAATAATAAATCTTCTGGTTATAAGAAACATAAATTGACTTTACAACAATGACCAAGATCAGCTTCTTCATCCAGGGCCATTCATTGTAAACTCTATGATCAAGGTCATTCTGATAGTTGCAACATAAACATATTTAATGAGTTTACTTCATGACTTAAGTGGTATATTAAAATTTAACTTGTCAATCTCTTTAAAGCCTTTTGAGTGCCATCATTGATGACTGAAGTTATGACTCTGACAAATGAACTAACTGGAGAGATATGTTTGTTAGTAAGGCATGGATGATTATGGGTACCCAACAAGGGCTCTAAGAAGTTTGCAGCTTTCCTGTTTGGTAAAATTATTCTAGATCTAAACGTTCAAGGTATATTACACTCTAGCTAGTATTGACATTTTACTAAAATAGAAAAATCCCTATATAAAACCTCTTGCATCAGAATCTTCCCGCAAAATCAATTTTGAGAACTTTATTACAAGCTGGATAGCCCATATCGTTTTATTCAATAACCAACAATGATTTATGAATACTTTCAGGAATAAAGGCAAGCCGAAAAACTTAACGAAGACAGTGGGGCGGGGGCCTGTGCTGGCGACGGATTGGCTACCATCTGACGAGTGTGGAGTAGGTCCACTACCCCCCTGTCCCCCTTCTGCCTACCGAACCATCGATGGAAGCTGCAACAACCCCTACAAGCCTAACAAGTGGGGGGTGGCGATGCGGCCTTACCGTCGACAACTGGCTCAGGCATACGCTGATGGTAAAGTCGTAGACTACATTTTGTAGTTCAGTTATTATTTCTGAGATAGTTGATGCAGCATATAATATCCTATAGCTTACAATAGTAAGTGGTTCTTTCAATTTGACTTGGTTAAACGTTGGTGTATTCATCAGGAATCGGTAATTTACATTAGCACACTCTGGTGGTAGCTCAATTCAACTAGCTACAGTAGATACATTTTGATTAAAAAATTTGTGACTTCAACATGAGAATGGAATGTTTAGTTCTACCAATAGTCAAAGGTCATTTTGAGGAACAAAGATTTTCAAAAATAATCTTATTACAATCTATTGTAGTCCCAGATTCAATACATTCCATTTACATGTGCACAATAAAATGTCAGAACTTTTTAAACTCTTAAATATGTAAAAACCTAACATACAAGTTTGGTTAACGTATAAAACTAACAATTGTACATACTTGTTCAGGTATCTCGGAGCCGCGTAAGGCTACAGACGGCAGTCCATTACCTTCTGCAAGAGACGTAAGTGTTACGGTACATCGTCCGACGTACAGAGACGACCCCAAGTTTACAGTCATGTTGGCAGTCTGGGGACAGTTCATGGACCATGATGTCACTGCTACTGCCATAAACATAGGTATTGGTGATAAATGTTAAGTGTAATCTAATCTATGAATTTATTAAAACATTTTATGGTGGTTTTGAACAGAATTCGAAAAATCATTTGGCATTACTAGACACTAGATATATTCTTGACAGAAACGATTCTTGTTGATATTGTTGCTATTGGTACAGTATTTTTTGATAATTGTCACGTAAAATAACCTTCCAACCAAACAAAAAAGAACGTGGAAGAACAATTATTTTATTTACAGGAAATAATTTTAACAACAGAACTCAACTTGCAAACATAAACATGAATTCGAATTGGGACAACAAAGGAAATCATATACAATACAGACAAGGGGTGAAATTTAAATAAACATATGTTACATATGTTGGCTGATGTAATATATAAAATCTTAACAAATGGAACTTCAACGAATCAATTCATTATTAACAACTTTTATATACGTTATAGTACTGTGACTGTAACACAGTGTTTGGAAATCAACCTTAAACTGTATATTTACTCATTTAGAAAAGAGAAAAGAATGTAACTCTCAAGCAAGAGAGTTCTAAATGTCTACGGCAATTGTATTCACTAAGTTTTATAAGTAAAATTTATATTCTTTGTTTGAATTTCATTGTTGGTGATGGTGAGTTAATCTCGTTCAAATGTTTATTGCGGACATTTTCCATCACTATGATAAAAAACAATACACAACGTTTCAGGATCTGGAATCTGATTCCGCATCTTGTATTATGACTTGACTGCTATACAGTGCATATTTTTTACTGCTACTCTCTGTAGTGTATGTAGTGTCTGTAGTGTAGGTTGGGCGTTTGTGTATTGTTAGTTGTAATGTGTTGGTTAAGTGTTATCACCTGAGGACGGGATCAGATACCAGATCCCGAAACGTTGAGTATTGTTTTTTACCATCGTGATGTAAAATGTCCACAATAAACCTTTGAAAACATAAAATGTCTAAATAGATATTAACCTTCAAGGGGAAAAACAAAAGAAAGAAAGACAGATTAGCTTTATAATTTCACAAAAAATAATCCTCTCCTTTTCTTATAGGCCTACTCTAAGTTCAATAAATAGGTAGTATCCAATGCATTCAGAGTTTTAACACCTTAAGATAGTGATTGTAATTAAGTATATTTTACTACACAGCAGTAGGTAATGTAATACATTGAGTTTTACACTCACCAATTTACATGTGTGTTTCAGGCGGCAGTGGAAAACCACTATCGTGTTGCCAGAATACTTCGTCGTCTGCCCACCCTGAGTGTTTCCCCGTGATGTTGTCTGCGGAAGATACGTTCTACAAACAGTTCGGCATCACTTGTATGGAGTTTGTAAGATCAGCTCCTGCACCTACCTGCGCTCTGGGTAAGTGATTATGATTGGCTCTATTTTTACAATGACTTTAGCAATTTTAAGATATTTGTCATATTTAAATTTTGAAGAATATAAATTACAATGTATGGGTACATTTGTTTAAGCAGATAAATTTTTGGTGTATGATTTTCAAACCCGGAGCATATGGAACTTTGGAACTTCTATCTTGGTTTGAATCTTGCCAGTCAATAATACTGTAGCTTTTTAGCATGTGGTAATGCTGCGACTCTTAGTTATTTGGATACAACTTTAAGATTTAGATCCACCTATTTAGAAAACATCAACAATTTCAAAAATGGGCCAGGAGAATTTGCTTTATTAGAGAATTCCCTTTGCTAGAAGATATATCAAACAAATTAATTACTTATGGGTTTAGTCAATTTATCACTATAGCAAGAATAGATTTGAAACTGACTTAACTGAGCTATTATTGGCATGAAATACCTATATTTTTACAGTTAATTTTAGTAGTTAATTTTTTTCAATACTCTTGTTTTTATTTCTCTCATTGTTATTCCAATCAATTAAATAATTCATAATCAGATTGTTTGTTTTCAAATTTTAAGACATATAGGCCTATTACAAAATATATGTATTATTCTTAGGACCCAGGGAACAGTTGAACCAAGTCAGCAGCTACCTGGATGCTTCCGTCGTCTATGGCAACAAACCAGAACTTGCCCGAGCTCTTCGCAGCTTTCAGGGTGGCCAACTGAAAATGCTTCAGACCCCTGATGGCAGATCACTGCTGCCAATTTCAACAAACTTAGACGATGGCTGCAACAGAGAAGCAGAAAATGCCAAAGGCAGATACTGCTTTATGTCGGGTAGGAAAAGTCCACACTTTCTACAACCTTTAAAGAAATAGTCGAGCTATGGGGTAAAATAAGTGAGGTTGAATAAAATTTTTGGAAATATAAATATGTTACATTTTTTATAAGACTTACATGATTTTTCAGATATACAAAACATAAAAATTTCCATAATTTGCTCCTATACTTTTCATCATCAAGGCAATTTAGCTGTTTCCAAAAATAAGATATTAAATTTGTTTTTTGCCTGAAATTCTTTATGTAACCAATCTAAGCATTCGAATAAATTGTAAATAATGATGAAAAGCTGTGATAATGCTGTATAAAAAGTTATTTTATGTCAACAATACATACAACGGATAGGTATTTAAATTTGAAGTGACCATAAGTGTATACCTAGCTTTGCTGGTGTCATTTTGATATTGCTCACCTAATAATTAGATGAATGAATAATGAGATAAGTTTGTAGCGTTTGAAAGTTCTAAACTGAACTCAAGCTGTCTTTGATCATGAAGCATGTTGATTAATGGTTCAGGACCTAAGTAACAGCTGATCTTATCCAACAATAAAGCTACAAAATGTATTACACCCTTCTCTCTCCGATCGTTCATTCTCAAATAGCATTTAGTACCAACATAGACAAAAAGAATTAAATATCGACAGTCAGCTGTGCTGCGGTTACTATAGGTTCTGGTGCACACCGCTGGGAGTGCCATAGGTTCTGGTGCACACCGCTGGGAGTGCCATGTAGTTACGGCGTTCGTGCTATGTAACTACACTGCGCTCCCAGCGGTGTGCGCCAGAACCTATGGTAACCATGGTAACCACAGCACGGCTGACAGTCTATATTTAATTCTTTTTGTCTATGATACCAAGAACTGATACTTATGTTAAAATACCCTGAGCTCTGTTCCCTTCAAGTGCTGCTTTTATTGAAAGAGAGTATAACCAATAAACTAGACCTGTCCCTTATTTACAAACCACTACAATAAATAACATCTACCAGTACCACCTATTGTTTCAGAAGAATTTTCGTTCTGTTTCAAAACCACTTAATGTAACATTATCTTTTGACAGGCGATGAACGAGCTAACGAGAACACTCACATAACCTCACTTCACACACTAATGGCCAGACAGCACAACCTGGTGGCGACACAACTGTCCGACCTCAACCCTGACTGGAGCGATGAGAAGCTTTACCAGGAGTCTCGCAAGATTGTGTCCGCTCAGATGCAGCACATCACCTACAACGAGTTCCTTCCTATCCTACTTGGTCAGTTAAACTATTCACATTGAGTAAATTGTACCATAGACAAAAAGAATTAAATATAGACCGTCAGCTGTGCTGCGGTTACCATAGGTTCTGGGGCACACCGCTTGGGGCGCCATGCAGTTACGGCGTACGCGCTACGTAAACTACAGCGGTGTGCACCGGACCCTATTGTAACCATGGTAACCACAGCACGGCTGACAGTCTATATTTAATTCTTTTTGTCTATGATTGTACTGAAGTAAACATCTCATCTGTGTGAACTAACTGTAGCAGTTTATTTTACTTGAAGAGGACACAGTTGGAGGTGAATAAGCCTTTTGAGTGTGTTGCTGAAATTATCATTTCTCATTTGTTTTTTTTTTCATTCTTTAATTTGAAGGAAGTATAAGATGCTGCAGTTTGCTCTAAGTATCCCATTCAGTTTGGCATGATCAACGTGTTGGTGTTTGGTGAACAAGTATGAAAATGGAACTTTACAGCAGCATACTATGTTGGTGGCAGAATTGAGTGAATTATTTTGTATTTACAAACTTGCCACAAACTTTGACTATGGATGGAACTACACATACTTTTCCCATGTTAAAGTTGTCTTGAGACACCATGATGATGAACATAGTTGAAATGAGCTATTGACAGGGAGAATGGATAAGAACCTCCTAATAAGAACAGTAGGGAAGATTCCATGAGCAACCCACATGTTATAATCTTAAATCCTGTGTTTTAGCCTGTTAAGGAAATGTGTTTTTAACTACTGTAAAATATTAACGCTATTGCTCTTAGGGAAATAAGAAGCTGGTATTACTATAAACACCTCATTTTACCACTCTATTACTTTTTAGTACAAACTTGTTCCATAATGAGTTGTCTTTCCCCTAGGTCCTGATCTAATGGAAGAGTTAGAGTTAAGTCCTAAGGAGAGTGGATATTACAAAAACTACGATCCGTCTGTTGATGCAACTATCAGTAACAACTTTGCCAGTGCTTCGTTCAGATTTGGCCATACCCTTCTGCCCGTAAGTAACAAGGAGTTTACCATTTCTAAGCTATTTTAATGTAAAATATGTATTGAAAACAATTGGAATAGTACTTAATAAATTTGACAATTGTAGATGAACAAGAGGATGCTTTACAAACAATTTCTATCAACTGGGAGTCTATCTGAAAGGAGTATATGTGAATTATTTGAAAAATTAACTCATCCAAATAGCTTACAAGTTCCTCCAAGAATTTTCCAGTTAGGTTTGATTATAACATTTATAACAGAATATATGTTAGCATATCAATAACTGAAACTGAATTGATTTTGAAGCGCTCCAATACAACTATCCAGACTACAGAGACACGGATGAAAAGTACCTAACCAAAGCTAAATAATGCAACTCACTCTATTCAACACACATCTTAATATACACAAAAAAATTGTGGGTTTTTTTAATGGAATGAAATGATACACATATCATAAACATTCTTTCTTCCTCAATGTGAATTCATAAAAGTTTTGCAACGTACCGTACCTGAAATATTTTTTCCAATTATTTTCCGAAAGGCCCTGATGAAGACTGTAGCCAAGGACTGGGGCTCTGAAGAGTCAGTTGAGATGCACAAAATGTTGTTTGATCCCTACAAGCTCTACCAGACTGGAGCCTTAGACAAAGTCTTACAAGGAGCAATATCCACCAGGCTGGAGAGGGCTGACTCTTACTTCAACACTCAGGTCAGTGACAGTCCCAACCATTCAATATTGATAGAAGTAGACGTATCTCATTCCTATCTAGATGTTGCCAGTTTTACAATACAAATGGACATAGTTGAATATTGAGCCACCGACAGATTTTGCTGTTGTATAGATTTTGTAGGATTTTACCAGCTTTCTAACCAATCCGTTGTTAACACGTTCGCTGCTGAGCGCTAGATGCCGGGACGGCGCCAGTTGCTGAACTAACGCTCGGCCGCTGCGTGACATTGCCACCGATACACTGAATTACAGTAAAAACAACAGTAGTTATACTGGATGGCAATGTTCTGCAATAATACTGGCATAGGATATTGTACTAAGTGATTCTGATAGATAGCAGCACTACCCAGGTTACAGTCGGTAAAGTAGTGTCGCTATCTAGCAGGAAAGAGGTAAAACAAAGCCCTGTTCCAAACAACCCTGGTGGTGATTTGGGAAACTATATTTTTTATTGTCAGAAAAGTACGTCCCCACGAGCTGCAAAGAAATATAGAACGCTTGTGACGTGCTGGCTTATCCATAGCAACGTTAAACAACAATGAACGGTGACGTTCTGGAACGTTCTTAGCTCCTGGCGCCGTGGCCCGGCCGACGTTCCGGAACGTCCGTAGCAGCGAACGTGTTAAAGGGCAACTTATTATTGTATAGGATAGCATAATGTTGGTCACATCAACTATCATATTATCAAAGATAAGGGAACAGTGGTCTTAGTTTAGTCGGTAAAAAAATAACACATGGCATCCATTTAATACTCTTCTTTCACTTCCTTCGAGTTGGAAATATTCACAGGAGTAATCTTAGTATACTTTTGTAATAATATTTATGACCGTGAATCAAAAAATAATGCCATTACCTGACAGTACAATAATTTTATGTGAGTAGACTACCGTTTAATATGCTACTACCCCTTTATGAGACAGTCTGATCTAGTTGCATAGCACGAGGCTTCTCCCCAGGTTCATATCCTGCCAATCACTACAAGATTTGCTTTCATAATATTATGACGCTCTAGGACTATTCTGAAGTAATTTGAAAATCGGCTCTGGGCTAGAGCCTAGCATCCTAGGATGTAAGAGAAAACCAATACACTTCACGTTTGTTGATTACTTTCACAAAGCCAGCTGTAACTCATTTCTCCTTCAGGTGACGCAACACCTGTTCCAAGCTACTGGGGAGGATGACAAGCCGTCAGCCCCCAAGTATGGTCTGGACCTGGTGACCCTCAATGTTCAGCGAGGCCGAGACCACGGTCTGCCTCCTTACCCAGCCTGGCGACAGTACTGCGGCCTCAAGGTGCCTCGGACCTTTGCTGACATGGAGGGGATGGTGGATGCTGACTCACTCGAGAAGATGAAGGCTATCTACAAGTGAGTAGTTAAATGTGAAACTTATAGAGATAAAATGTTTGTCTGGTATACACATGTACTACAAGGAGAATGTTTATTGTCATCTAAAGTGAAAATATTTAAATTAAAAATGTATGTGACACCATGTCCTTTCCAGGTTTGCTTAAATTGTCAGCAACCTCCAATTAATGCTCAAAAACGTTTGAAAAAAAGGGCGTATCCCCGGTGCGGCACAGCGTCGAACAAGCCCGAATGCCGGGCGATTGGATTTCAAATTTCGTCCTGATAAATTGCAAATAACGTGTGGTGATTACTGTGTTACGACGAGTGTCGACATAGTTTGCTAAAACACCCACAGATAGAAGCACTGCTTGGAGGGAGAAAGATGACAACAAGTTGATTTCTAAGCTTACCAGACAGGGATTTTATCGGGAAATTTACTACCAACCAAAGCATGTCACCCGCTACGCGCTAAATTGGTATAGGTCAACTTGGTATATTGCCTTTGACCGACGCTAGGCTCGCACTGAGCAACAGATTGATGCACTGCAGTGCGGGTTTTGGGTCAGTACTGACCCGGCCACTTAAGGGTTTCAGTCGCCGTGCATAAGTACTGACCCACCCGCAGCGAACATGTTAAGCTAGTACTTTGGATGCTGTCTAAGTGCTGTTATATTATTCTAAAATTTTATACTGTTCAAAAGCAAGGTTAAGACAAGACATTGAGGCTGCACTTAAATTTTTAACTGTCAAGGTCCCATAATCAATTGTACGGCAGGCTACTGATTATTAGTCTTAGTTTGTGTGAGGTTTTTTTGTAAACAAATTTATATTCTTCAGATCCGTGGACGACATCGACATGTACACAGGCGCTCTGTCGGAATTTCCGATAGAAGGAGGTCTGGTTGGTCCTACAGTCACCTGTCTGGTCAGCGACCAGTTTAAGCGACTCAAGCAAGGGGACAGCTTCTGGTACGAGACAGACAACAAACCTCAGGCGTTCTCTTTGGGTAAGTCTAATAGTTTGTTTTACAAGACTAAAATATTAGAGAAGGTGTGACATCAAAGTGATATTGATATTGTTTGTGTAAGAATATTCAATTTTGCCGTGTTGGTAAGAAATTGTTACAAGGGTTGATTGTATAGCCTCCGCTCAAAGCCTTCGTCGCTACGAGAGCTTGTGACTTACCTAGGTACTTGAAATCTTTAAACAGTGCTGTATTCTTCAATGGTCAATCCCTACCTTTCTTCAGCACTCAGCCTTTATTGTGGTAGCTCTTAACAAAGAAAAATCAATGAATTTTGAGAAATTTTTAGAGACATTATTACTCCTTACATTGAATAATAAGTGTTGTAATGTAATATGTTGTATTGCAATGTTGTAATGTACCTTGTTGGTTTCCAATTCTAGAAGTAACCATATTATGCGCTTACCATGGTTTCAAGTTTCAACTCAACACATTTGTGTCATATGATCACATTCACCCAGAAATATACGCAAAACATTTATTGGTACATTAAATTAGCCTGTCTATAATGTTGTTTTAAGCTTGTGAAACTTAAACATCTTTTTGTTATGTGTTTCAGCTCAACTGGATGAAATCAGGAAGACAACTTTGGCTAGTATTATCTGTGACACTTCTGACGATGTGACGACAGTGCAACCTCACGTGATGAAGAGTGTTGGGACTGACAACACTAGAGTGCCTTGCAGTGCAATCCCTCGGCCAGACCTCACCAAGTGGGCGGAGGAAAGCAACCAGCTCAAGAAAATCAGTGCAGGAGGTGCTGCCATGAAATACTCAAAAGTTTCAGTCACAGTAACAGGTGGAAGTATCAAGACAAACGCTGGAGAAATTCTCTGGGATGGAACAGTACCAACTTCAATAAGTCTGCCTCTGTTCAATGTAAAACCCGTTTTGAAAGCTGCGCCTTCAGGTAGTTTTGGCAGTGGAGTTCAATGGCAAGGGTCAACAACTGTAACGCCCAACGGGATAGAAATATCAGGAATGTTTTCTTACCCAGTGTATCACCACGGACCTATACCTCTCGGTACTAACTACTCTGCTAAATGGGTGAATGGACAGTTCAATCTGAAAGCTGAGTTTACTTTGAAAGACACTGACGTCGGAGACATCATGCTTTCTGGTGCTTACCAATCACCAATCTACTTCTCCCAGGAGAAAGTTGATGCAACAGGAGGAAAAAAACAGTTTGTTCTCGGCGCAACTCAGGATGATGCCCCAACGATTGTTGGAGTTGAAAAACTTCCAGTGATTTTGGTTGGATCGTATTCGCCCGATAAAACATCTTTTGCTTGGGCTGGAAAAGCAGTTATAACATTGTCTAGTGCTCCAGCAACACCACAACTACAGGCACCGGGGGCTGGTGTTAAGCCAACTACTTCTGGGGCATTCAGTGTTGTAAGTGGTAGTGTAAAACTGCAGTCTTCAGATGGAACAGCTACTAGCCTATGGTCTGGTGGGCTGCCTGCTGCCATTCCAGTGCCTCTACCATACAAAGTGATGGCACCTGGAGGGGCATGGGGACCTCTTCCAGTGTTTGGAAGTGGACTCGAATGGTCAACCACAATATCAGGATCATTATTAGAGGGATCCTTTGCTTTCCCACAGTACAACCATACACTTGGAATTCCACAAGTTAATTGGCTTAATGGTCAGTTTTCCTTAGAAGTAACCACTCTTGAAGATGTCTCCTTGGAAGAGCTTATAACTCCTGGTGTTAAATACACATCTAGGATTATATTCAGAGAAGAACCAGCAGCTACCAATGTCAAGCTGAACAGTGGGTTTTACGATGATTTGGATGCTTCAAATTCAATTGAAAACCTTATTGTAGAGAGTCAACAGGTGATTGATGGTGTTATTGCAGCACCTTTGATTTTGCATGGAACATTTTCACCGGACAAAACAGTGTTTTATTTCAATGGAAAAGTTATTTTAGCAGTCAAGCCGACCAAGCCAAAAATGGATAAGCAATTGAAATTATTAAAGGGTCCGGAACCATCAGTTTCACCATGGGCCAGTCCAAAGTTTGGTGGAATGGTTAACTCAGGACACATAACAGCTGGTTTGGATGGAGCATCTCCTTCTACAGTATGGTCAGGTACAGTCCCTGTAGCAATAAAAATGCCAACTTTTTTCTCTCCCATATATGATTTATTTGGAGCAAAATCGTTCATGTTTGGAAATGGTGTGGTTTGGTCAGGAACTCTCAGTGGGACAACAATAAAAGGCACATACACATTGCCCCAAACAACAAAATCTATTACTGGTGTAACTACACAAAATTGGTCTGGTGAATTTGCCTTTGAGGTAAGTCCTCTTTGGAATGCAACATTGGCAGCTATTTTTGTTCCTGGTGCAAAATATTACTCAAAAATTCATTTCCAAGGAACCAAATACGAAGCGGGAATAACAACGTTGAAAGGTGTTCCCGGAGAAGACCCCACAGTTGGAATGGCTGCTCCAATAATTTTGCAAGGAAGCTACTCCCTCGACAAATCAACATTTTTGTGGTCTGGTGGTTTTATCATAACATTCAGAAATAAGCCAATTTTGTCATTTGTCATGCCACCAAAACCAAAGAAGGTAGATGTTAACAAACCGTCCATTACCCTTGATGTGACCTCTGGTACGGTTGTGGCAGGTTTTACTGGGACCAATCCAACACAAGTTTGGGGTGGAGAATTACCTGCAACAATTCCTTACAGTTCCCTACTATCCAAGGACAGTTGGAACCCTATACCATCTCCAGATATCACATGGACCGGAAAGGTGAACAACAACACATTCCAAGGAACCTTTGCGGTGCCTACTTACAAACCAAATAGCACAGAAGAAGTGGTTGTATGGTTTGTAGGAAACTTCTCATTCAAATACACTACAAGATACGGCCAGTTGTTGGAGGACTTTGTTGTTCCTGGAAAGAAGTACAACTTCAAATTGATGTTCATCCCTACAAAATCTTCCAGCAAAGAAGACAAAGGAGGAAACAAGTTAGTTCAATTCACTCAAAATGCACAGGAAGTAATTGATGATGTCAAACCTGGAAAAATTCTTTTGTTTGGAAATTACTTCTCAAAATCATTTTACTGTTACTTTGTGCCCTTGTGTACTGATAAGAAGGAATACTATTGGTCGGGAGGTATGACTTTAAATTTCCCAGAAACTACCAACAATACATCCAACAACTTGAAAATGAGCAATGTCGAAGCTATTGGCAAACCATCATCTCAGTTTGGAGGCAAAGTTACATCAGGAAGCTTAGAAGGGGGTCTGAGTGGTGAAAGCATGAATGTTTGGTGGTCAGGTAACTTACCTGTGGCAATACCCACGGCCATATTTAGAACTAACAAAACAAAACTGATGGCTGGATCGTTTGGAGGATACAAGATTAATTGGTCAGGATCTCTAATTGGAAACACCTTGAAAGGATCATTCTCTCTTCCTCAAATAGTAGCAGATTACCCTATGCCAACCGTACGGACATGGAATGGTCAGTTTTCATTTGAAATCGAGCCACTATGGAATGCTACTTTGGACGGTTTGATTAAGTCTGAAGTCCAATATTCTTCTGGGCTTTACTTCCAAGGCATGAAGGTGGAGGAAAGTAATGACAATTTGAAGCTGGGAGAAAGTGTTGTGGGATCTCAAAGTGCTCCTATAATACTACAAGGAAACTTCTCACCTGACGGGGCTTCTTTCATGTGGTCAGGACAATTTATTATATCAGTGAAAAACTACCCGATGTATGCATCTTTGAATCTTATGAAAACTAAAGTGACTGTGAAAGATGACTCTTCACCAACCAAAGCTCCAAAACCCACTAAGCCTCCCACTACTCCCAAGCCTGTGAAACCAAAAACAACTGTTAATTTTTCGGTTCTCACAGGTCAACTGACTGCCACAAATGGAAGTGACCCTGAGACAGTGTGGGCAGGCACACTTCCAATAGAAATAAACACAGATTTATTCAATCCAACAGCAACTCTGGGAGGTGGTATTTCTATCAATTGGACGCCGACGTCACTATCTCCTCAGTTGGTTGGAACATTCTCTGTCACAGTTTACAAGCGAAACAGTTCTATTTTGTTACCTGTGCCATACTCAGGAAATTTTTCATTCCATTATGTGACAAAGTGGGGAGGTGCTTTTACCGGTCTGGTGAATACCGGAAAGCAATACTCGTGCAGTCTTGTGTTTAAGGAAATGGCCAAAAGTAGTCAATCACTGTCAGCTGAGGACGTTCCTAAGCGGTTTGTGCTTGGAGATGGAGAATCTTCAGGAACCCCGTGCACGTTAATACTCACTGGAAAGAATTATATCAAGAGTGGAAATGCATTTTACTGTAAAATAATTCCGTTCATGTGTTCCAATGAACCAGACACAAATTGGTTTTCATTTACTGGAGATGCGTTGTTAGTCATCAAGCCTCCAGCTGATCCGCCAATGCAACAATTATCTTTGATGAAACCCAAACCCACCATATCATACATGCAGGGCTTCCCAAGAAGAGTGAATACAACAGTGATCGGAGGAAGTATAAAGGCTGGGCTAGAATCAGAGTATCCTTCGACATTATGGTCCGGAACGTTCCCAGTTGCTATTCCACTGCCAGTCTTCTGGAGTGACAATGTGGCTGGAGGAGCAAAGGTACCGAAAGAGGACACATTGCACACTCACCAAGTGATCTGGTCGGGTTCACAAATGGGACCTCGAGTAGAAGGATCTTTCTCACTCCCTCAATACAGCAAAACCGGTTTGAAATGGTGGACAGGAAGATTCTCGTTCTTGTTCCAGACTAGTTGGGGTAACCTGGGAGATTTGGATGAACTTATCGCTTCTGGTGTTAACTACAAATCAAGAATAATATTTAGAGATATCAACAGCCCAACTCCACTCATGGCACCTAGTCAGATTGATATTGACACAGCAACGAGTTTGCCCATAGTATTACTTGGAACTTACGCACCGGGAAAGAAAACATTCTTTTGGTCTGGACAGACAATTATTGCTACAAGAGGCAGCCCATGGAACTCTTTAGACCAAGCTAGTAACATGCTGACTGGTCCTGAACCAGGAGTTTGGCCAATGAAACCACAACAGAGAGTTGGCGCATTAGTGTCTTCAGGAAGTGTAACAAACGCCACAAACGGAGCCCCTGTTTGGTCTGGAAGCATACCAGTAACTATTCCTCTGTCTGTTTTCAATGTAACTAAAGGAGTAAATGTAATCTGGTCCGCTTCAACCTTGTATCCTACATTTTCAGGGAAATATTCAATTCCTCAATACGTTCCAAACGGAGAGACTTTCAAGATACAATGGATGGACGGCACGTTTTCATTCGATCTGACGCCTTTATGGAACACATCATTGGATGTTGTAGAAATTGGAAAGGAATACGCAACGATTATTGGCACTAATTTAGTAAAATTGTCTAAAGCTGAACAGGCAGAGTTATTAACTTCATTCCAAAACTTGATCATGGAGTCTGCAGACCTGGCTGGTTCTCCACTAGGAAAAATAAACTTGAAGGGTTTGCTCACTCCAGACAACTTAAACTTCATTTGGCAAGGAGAGGCTTGGTTTTATCCTGAGAAGAACAAAACCGTCGGTCCCAAAAGTAGTTTGAAACTCCAAGCAGATAAGCCTTTTTACCTAACTCAGTTTGGAGGTTCTGTCTATGACGGCTCAGTGACCTCTGGAACTTCCAGTTTCTTCAGCCTCAGCCACACTGTATGGTCTGGGAACATTCCAGCGGTGATTCCTTTCTCTGCATTTTGGACCGGATCGTTCTCCTCGGCCACATTCACCAAAGGCATAACCTGGACAGCCAGCTCTGTGACAGACTCACTAATTAGCGGAAGTTACTCAGTCCCTCAGTATTCCTGGGATGGAATCGCAACTTCTGTGACTTGGTACAAAGGAAATTTCAAGTTCTACTTTAGACCTCTTTGGAACGCCACACTCACTTCACTGATACAACCCGGAGTTCAGTACTATTCCTCAATCAGCTTCCAAGGAGAGAAACCTCTGCTTTCAGCAGAAAATTCTGTTAGTGTTCCAATAGTTCCGACTACTGGAGTCAAAGCTCCAATTATTCTGCAAGGCTCATACTCTCCTGACCGAACTGCCTTCTACTGGTCTGGAAACTTCATCTTGAATGTGAAACCAGCAAAAACTGTGTAAAAACATAGATGATATGCACTGAATTGTTGTGGATATTTCAACGATTGGTAGTTTGAATACACACTTAAATCTAAGTGATCGAAACAGGGTAGAGATGTGTGTTAGTTGTTTTTCAACTACAGTATCAATTTTTTTATTAATTTATAATAGGCTTCTTTTTAATGGATTCCCATTTTATTAGAACGAATTATTTATAAAATTAATTTCAGAATTTTATCTTATTTTATGTATTGCACTAGTCAATCACGTATCTTTTTAGGTTTAATAGAAGTTGTGCAAGTTTATTTTAAATAGGTAATATTTTTAAATAACCTCATTCTTTTTTATTTTTCATCATTGGTGTTATGTTTGAGAAGATAATTTTATAATGATGTCCATACTGTAACCTTTGTTAGCTGATTATTTATTTTATCTGTGATTTTTGTCATTTTTATTTTCAAGTCTTATGCCATCAATATTGTTAGTATAGATTGGATCTACCGTCCATTAGCTTTTTTATATTTTTATAAATATCAATTAATGATGTAGTTAGTAGTTTGTGTTGATCAGTTTTATTTTCATGTGCTATATTTTATTACTAGGTAGCATAGTTTATAACAATTAATATTTTTTGTATAGTTAGGTCGATCTGTCATAGTGTAAAGACATATTTTTATATAGTTTTTGTACCTAACAAAGGTAAGTTAGCTGCCAATGATCGGTATTGTATTTACATAAAGAAATGTTATTTATGTTAAGAATAAAGTTTCAAAACTATTTTTATCTTCATATTTTACCATCAATTACTTTATACCTTATTTTTCTAAATATTGGTAAAAAAGGAGGTTTTAAAATTAGATTATAAGAGAAAGTTCTTGCACAATATTTAAACTAATTTACTGTTCTATAAACTAGAACTAAAATATTTAGTTTTTTGCATTTTCTTATTTAAAATTTTGTGTTTAATGACAAAAATGAATCCGTAAATTGTGAAAAATATGGTATTGAAATTTTAAACAGGGGAGGGCCCTTGCAGGGATTTTTTTTTAATGAAATAACTTACATTCTGATTATCTTAGAAAAGTGACTGTAGACACTTTTCTGTAAATTAAAACACTGTCAGATAAAGTCTGCACAAAAAGGTACCTTGCTTAAAAATAGCTTAAATATGAATACTGATTCAGTAAAAATATGCGTGAGGATTCTAGGAATGTAATATGTGTGGCAGCCAACTCATGGCTCATCTACTCAAATATCAAATCTTTTGCGAAAAATCTGGCTATGAATTACAAACAATCATACTAAACATAAGATTTGATTTATCTGTGTTTTACGTTTCAATTTGGAAAAGGTTTAAAAATACATCTTAAAAATCAAATCAATCGTTATCTTTTACAAATAATGGTGCAGCATTACACATAATATATCAAAATCATCACATGGCCTTCTGCCTGTGCACTAACTAGTACAGGTACACTAAAACTAGTACAGGTACACTAAAACTAGTACAGGTATACTAAAACAACACTGTAACTGCTAAGATTATATTTCCGTTGATATAAATAAAAAAGTACAAAATAGTTCAATAGTATAAAATTAAGACATCATTTACATGGGCTGAGGAATATCCAAGTAATCCTTACTGGCCCAACCATCTTCTAAAACTCTTTCCGAGGCCTCCTCTGGTTTGATTGTAGTCAGGAGTGGTTTTCCGTCCGAGCCCAAGCTGAGGTATCGGAGTATGAGATCAGGCAGCGGCAAAGCTTTGGGTAAAGCATTCTGTGGAAGCTCAAGATCCTCTGGCAAGTCTAAAGCACTCTTAGCACCTTGGAAATGCTGCAATCGTTTTAGTTATATTTAGTTAATTTTTTAGATAATTTACCTACACATAAACATAACAATAAGAGTAAAGTAGAATTTCAAACACAATTTTTCTAGTTTTGACGAATAATGTTGGTTCACATTTGAGTGTGCATATGTCAGAGGAGTGTATGCCTTATAGTTACTGATCTGGAAAAAGAAATGTCTGGCGTATCAGCCCAATATTTTCCCACTGAGCTGACTGAGCTACAAAGTTAAAAAAATATTGTCTTCTGACAAGGTAATAGTTATTATATTGATGAATTGTATTTTTCATTCAAAATACAACTTGTACAAACCTCGGGTCGACAATGGTGGTTCATGCAGTAGTAGTTGTGTTTTCCGTTGTGGTGACACCAAGTACCATCAGGAAAGTAAGGATCACTTCCAAGGTCGTTTAGGTCTAATCTCGGGGAATAATATGAGCCGTTGTCTTTCCGGCGGCAAAATATTGCACACGCCACCCACAGCCGACCTGCCAGATCAGAAACAGAAATAGTAAAGCGGTTGAAGAATATCCACAAAAACTTACGTAGTTTTGTAGCCTGAACATGTGTAATACTTGAAATACATGCAGAGATCAAAGTACAGTGTCATTGCAGGGTTAAGAACCAGCTGAACTTGTCAAATAAGTTTATTTTGTCATCCATTCTACTCGCATGCATCCCTCAAAACCTGGTCTATTGGGGTCATAGATTTGAAATATAATTTTTTACTTTGTGATTGGAAAATACGTACCCTCTTCATGCGGAGCTTGAAGTCCAGAACCTAGTGGATCGAGTATAGACAAAGTTTTACTGAATTCCTCGCATTTCTTTCTGGCATAGTCAGCTGGTTTTATTCGTTTGGTTTTTTTGCAGACCTGCAATAAGAGTTTACAATGAATATCTGTGGTGGATGAGTTAAATAATTTATAAATAAAAATGCTTTTTAAAAATGCCACGTTATCTGTAATCAGATGTTTTATCTTTACTTTGAAATTATTGTTTTATATTTTTAGAATATCTCGGGAGCAGAACCTGTACCTCTTAACCTCTGCTCTTCTAACTGTCAAATTTAAGTATTTACAGCTGACTTAAATTAATTCTTTTAAAATGTAAACATGGAAAATTTGGAAGCCAAAGAGGCGTAGCCCAAGGGAAATATGAAAATTAAATTATATAATATTGCATTGTCATCCGTTTGTGAGCTATGTTTCAAATTTTAAGTCTCTAGCTCATCGGGAAGTATCAAAATTTGCAAGAAAGCGATTTAATAAAAACAAGCCCATGGGGCGTAGCCCAAAGGAAATATAAAAATTAAATGATATAATATTGCATTGTCTTCCATTTGTGAGCTATGTTTCAAGTTTCAAGTCTCTAGCTCGTCGGGAAGTTAGTATAAAATTAATTTTAAAATTCGTACCGGACAAGAAAGCGAGCTAATAAAAACGTAAAAAAAAATACACTAGCAGTCTACAAGAATTTTTTTCTTTTCAGTTTTATAGGAAGTTCTTTTCACATAAAAAAGGATGAAGGGTAGGTAGCTGGAATCTGCTTGAGAGAGGAATTGGTTGGAAGAGAAGAGTTATTTGTAAAACCACAGAAAATGCAAGAAATCACAAAAAAGTACTATTGCTGAAAGAAAAACACCCACAGCATTGTGGAAGAGGAGAAGCTTTGAATTATTTATATACAGGAGTGGTCATAATGCATTGATACAAAATGCTTAATACGAGTACATCAATGGATTATTATCAATTTGACAACTTATACATTTAAAAATTAATCATAACGTTACCATATCAGCTCATATACTAACTGTAGGCCTACTTACTTTGTCATCTTTACACAGTTCAACATCAAAACTAGGCCCTTCACATCCCTCTTCAGTATTGACTGGGGAAGGATTGTTACATTTTCTGTGCTTGGTGTGAAAACCTGTCCCAACAAACTAACTTAGCAGGTGTGTAATCATTGACTATATAACACTACTTGTAGTGTTATATAGTCAATGGTGTAATACCTGTACATACTAAATTTAACGCTTGACTATATATTTTATTCTAAGTTGGATAACAAAACTGAGTAAAGTCAATAGAATTTCAATGTGTTGATTGCGACGCAAAGTTTTTTTGGCATATGACAGTACATTTCTTTTTAGAAATAGAGAAAACACTAAAAGCATTGAATGTTGCATGTGATTTACGTACTAAACATAAGAAAATAAATGTCAAAATAAATAGTGTTAGAGAGAGTATAAATTTTTATTCTTGTTATATAGTACATGCCTCAATCTACAGGCTATACCGTAGTTAAGTGTCTATGTAAATTATATGACTTCTTCTTAAAGTAAAAGATCTATTTTATTCTGTGTCCAGAGTCGGTTTCGGTTGTTGGTTATATAATGTCCTCTCACCGTGTGTTATCACTGTTCATATCATCCAACCATTGCCTTTTGATTAATAACCCTAATATAAATTACTTACAGTTGTCTTATAACCAATGGAATGCAATCTGCAGTTGCATTGTAGCTTTTCCAAAGATGAATTGCTGCAAAGCATAAACTAGCCGAGTGACCCCAAGACTATGTTTAAATAAGAGTTGTTCGAAACATTGGTTGTTTTCTGATAATGCTTCTTGCTTTTGTGTTCT